TTTTCTCCAGTACTACTGCATTTTCAACTCTGAAAACGAGGGATAACGTGGGGGTTAGGAAAGTCACCTTATTCTGTCGGTCAATCAGTTGCCAATACCCTTTTGTCCCTACTCTGAAGTCACCGGGTCTGCACAACGTTTCACCGCAATGATGCGGATATGCCTTGCCTAGATAGGCCAGACGGTACAGTCTTGGTGGTTTCACCCCGACTGTCTGTGAGTAAAACCCTATTTACCATGTTGGCTTTTTCACGGTAATTTAATCGCCTGAGTCTTACCTCTGTTTTCATTCTCCTGTGTAAATGCCTCCTATAACAGTTGTAGGGAAATTTAGGAACCCTGTGCTTTGAAGTCAAACCCTGTCGACCATGGCATCGGCGCTGGCGATGTCCGTCTTGTAGAGGACTTTTAGACGCCTCACGACTTCCAGCTAACAGATGTACAGGAGTTATATAGAGCGGCGCGCATGAAACCCTTGCATGTTTCTTACATAGTGTCAGCACGGTCAAGAGATTTCTGGCACCGTACGAGGCAGTGTGGGGTGCGTTTCAAAGTGCTGCACCCAGGCCCCAGTACCAAGTTCTTTCAAACTGGAATGGGGTATGGCTGGCTGCCAGTAGAATAGAATTCCACTGTCTATAAACCTTTTTTTAACAATCTACAGGAGATGGATTTGAGCAGATGATAATTTGAGCAACACTCCTCTCGGCCATAAAATCACGATTTTTGGTTGCGACTGATGGCAGTGCCAAATAAACTTTCTGGCCCGTCGTTGTTGTTCTCTGTTTGTCTGCTTAATTAAAGCGTTGATAATGTCCCTTAGGGCTCTCATATGTCATGAGACCGACTCACCTCTATGGTTGCTGGCTGGCATCAATATTCAGAAGTGTCCAGATAATTCTTGCGGTAAAATGTATTTTTTACAACTGTCGGTTGTAGCATGGCGGAACAGCCATTGTAGGTAAGCCAGCTAGTCTGTCACGAGCAATGTGTCAAAAAACTGTCCTTACTTCTTTATAATGTCTGTGAAGGTGCAGCGTGGATCCTAACAGACTTTATTGTCGAGAATTTTTGCCAACAAAAACTAGAAACAGGGCCGTGGCTCTTTCTGACTTAATAGCCGTCATCCGCCCCCGACAACACAGCCCTAGATATCGGTGCACCGGATGTTTGAGTCCGGATCCGGTGCGTCATTTAGCACTTTGAAACTAACCGTAAACGTCACTTGTAAGTGGAGTGCTGGGAAGTCATCTGCGATGAACCAAACTGTTTTCGTCATCCCGGGCTCAGAGTCAAAATCAATGTCCACAAACAACACATGCATAGGCGTGGACCTCGATTTTGTGAGTTCCCAGTCGCCCGAAAACTGCTTCATTTCCAACAAGATCCCAGTAATCGGTTGCATGAAAAACCTGTACGCGCTACTCAGAAAAGAGGGAAAGCGTCTAACAGTGGCCGAGATCAAATTCTATAATCCAAGAAAGCTGGTTCCGGTGTTTTGGCCGATTTTCTGGCTTACGGAAGACTACGGGCAAAGACAAGGGAGAATAGGACAGCCATTTCTAGCTTATTGGCCGTCGTCAGCCAGCCCCACATATAACGAAGTTTGGGGCACTCGACGCTCGAATCGGCGCTCTTTTGCACATTAGTCTCTGTCTGTGGTTTTCCTTTGCATACAGTTCGTGAGCTATCTCATGAAAGGTCACGAACTGCGAACTGAAATCACTGTAGCGCACGAAACACCCACCTCCTATCCGCGAATGTTGTACTGCGTCAAAGATACGACCGAGCTTCAAAACAAGGCACACTTTGGTTTATACAGTGTTATTTATTGACTAAGAAATAATTTATTTTACAAAAAACACCAAATGAAGAAACAACCTTAAGACAAGTCAATTGTTTAGGACCTAGTATAACACTCAGCAAAGAAGGAAAATGCCATACAACGACAAAATGATGAAAATCAATAGCAAATACAACATATTAGTGCTTCTTCGGTTGTCTTTTGGCTTTTGAAGTTTTTGTAAAGTGGGATTGCATGAAGGCTACTAAGTTGTCTATGGTGGTCTGGTCTATATAATTATTAAGCACAAAATCCAACTTTTGGTGCATTGAAAGATGTTTTCTTGTCATCTTTTACGATTTCGATGAACACCTTGCTATTTGCCGTCTCCGTTGTTGAACACCAGGCCGGTCGCTCTCCGGATTTGATAGACATCCAAACTATCAAGCGTCGACAGACCTTGAAGGTTGGTGTTGATAGATTGTGCTCTCGTAGGAAGTTTTTCCCACATATGACCACCTGGGTCGACTTCGGAGGCTTGTCTAAAAATAAGACCCCATCACAAAAGTAAATGCTATTCCATAATGAGAGTCTGGGCTCAATATATTTTTGAGCAGTAAAACGTTCCCTAATAAGTTTCCTTTTTAAAAGTGGTTTCATCATGGCGTTTTGCTGATGCCGGCCGAATTCATCCATTTTTTCTAATTATGCGCAAAGAAAACATTGATAGATGTTCCCTGTAAATAGCCTTAAGGGGCATATAATGATACTTTTTCAGTGTCCGACGAATGCGATCGTCGTCTTGCTTGCTTATGAGCCGTTAAGGTCCACCTTGCTTAGCTTTAGGCACCGTTTTATTATTAATAATTCTCCATAGAGTGACTTGGCTAATATTAAAAATACCAGCTAACGACTTACGCGGCAGCCCTTCGGCTGCCAATTTTCGTATTCGTTCAAAGTCAACTTCCGATAAGAACTGGTTCGACATCTTTGTTGTAAGGCGTGGCGCAGAAAAGTGGCAGCGTGTAGCGCACAATCCATATCTACGTGTTTACGTTACTAGTTCCCGGTGTAGTAAAGCAAATACTGTCGAACAAGCTTATTACTGCGTTTAACGGCATAAAACGTGACAATTTTGCTAAATATGATTTGTGAAGAGCAAATTGCTTCTTGTTTCATGAAAAGAATGCGTCTTTATATGCCTGCCTTGACCTGATTTTCACGAACCAAAAATCACCATATCCGTCTCCAGAGTGGATTTCTTTGATTTTTTTCCTAGTTAGATGAAAGTCCCTTTATAACGCAGCACGTGCAAGTAAGAGGTTTTAATAGGTGGTACTTAATAAAATAGGAAATTACGTAGATATCCGGAAATGTCAATATTTGCCTAATCTTAGCCTGGTTCCCCTCAACTAAACAGACCTAACGTGAATTATTCTTTAGAAAAGGACTGTCTGGGATTCCAATCACTTCTAGAAACAAAACTAACCACACCAAATATATGTCGTACCACCAACTCAAATATTGATCTCGAAATTTCATTATTTAGGTCATATACTGTTCACTACTAGTCGCTGTGAGACTGTCTAAGTGTCTCTAGATCGAGAACCAAAGCAGGATGGTGAGAGTACCCCCCATGACGCGATCGACGAACGCCCCCGCCATGGTTCCTGGCTTGTCTTGGCACAGTCTTCGCCGCCCTCGGACTCTGCTCTCTAGGCTGCTTTGCAGAACCGTCCTCCTGGTGGCTGGAGTTTACTGATGGCGTCATCATCATAGTCAACCAGAGACCATTGAGCGGGTTATGGTAGGCGGCCCACTCCCCACCATCACCTACTCCGGCCTGGTTTTACTGGCTCATGCGGATGACAAACCAAGATGCCAGTTCGACAGTCGTTACTGACGATGCCCACCGTTTAGCCTGCAGCAGGGTGGGGGCAGAGATGGTGACTTGCACATGATTACTTTATGGTGATAGTAGTCTTGTGCTGTATCTACCGCGCTCTCCTCCCCTCACCAGCTTGAGCCGGATGTCATGACGTAGCCAAGAAGGCCGGAGGCAGGAGAGGGCGCAGGTTGTTGGCGTGACGTGAGCTGCGCCTAGGCGTGCCACCGTATCCTCTGATTTACACAGAAACTACCAGAATTTCTCTCAGCAAGAAAAAGGGGAGAGGCTCGGACCTAAAATGAGTTGGAGTGTCATAGAGGCCACAGTAAGAAGGAGGCACTGCTTGACTCTCCGTTCTGAGAGGCGAACCGAGTTGTCCCGTCAGTTGCAGCCCTGCAAGCTAAGACTTTTAGCGCCCCATGATAGATTTACGCGTGTCAGATTGTTTATAGTGAGAAAAATGTGTTGAGAGTCGACCTCACTCTCGCTTTCCCGTTCTCTTCACCAGTCGATCGTCCGAGCCAGTCAGTCTACTGTTGCGGAGATTTAGCGCAGCGTTTTACGGATCTAAAAACGGCCAGTCTGCGCGTACCACACGCGCTGCATGCCCGCCTCCCCCCACAAAACGCATCACGATTTCACACGGAGGTGGGCTGCTCGGATCTCACGTGTGCTAGAGGAGCAGAGGAACCATATAGAGAGGGAGCCGAGGAGCATGATTCTCACTTGCTTAGGAGGTGCCGATTCTGAGCTTGTGATGGGCAATGAAGGTGGGTCATGTGTGGTGTACACGCTAATACGGAGATTTGCGGCGATGGAATTTTGCCAGAGGGGCTTAGCGCAGGTTTTTGTGGACGCGCGTATGGCCGAGTAGGCCCATACGGTGACTGAGTGTGCGTGGGCAGGTGGATAGTTGAGACGGGTGCAGTGGTTGTATGTTGGTGCCCCAGTCATTGGATCGCCAGTATATGTGCGACAGATTCGCAAGTGACCCACCAGGCTGATGCGTGAGGGGAATCTATGGCGGCAGTGTGGGCAGGATACGTTGGGAGCCGCGGAGTCGGTTGCGGTATTAATGCTGCCATTGTTCACCGCGCTGGTTGTGGTGCAATTGGTAGTGCTGGAGATAAGACAAATATCGGATGTGCAAATTGTGCTTGGAGTATCGATATTGAGGCGAATTCAGGTGTCGGGGATGCGCATGCGGCCGAATAGGCTCATGCGGTGAGTAAATATGCGTGGGAGGTATCAACAGAGGAGGCGGCTCCGGCGAACACATGCGGGAATCCCGGCGCCGGCGTGCCGGTCTCGATGAGATGGATTTGTAAACTACCGACCAAGCCGATGAGTGAGATTAAGGTGCGATCGCAATGCGGACAGGTTGGGATCGCATTCACATTGCTGGTGGCGGAGCGGTGAATGTAGGGGCGGCGCTTCCGTGGCGTCGTGAGTATTCTCATCGGTGGTAGGGGTCAGAGGGATGGTAGCCGTCGTCTCCGTCATCGTGGCTGTTGCGACAGGGATTATCAAACTGTTAGGGGTTGACGAAACCGGCGGAGGCGTCGGGTAGTCAGGAACGCGAGCATAGGTGGCGGTGACGGTGGTGATAACCGCTGTCGTGGGGTTGGTGCGGGATTGACGATGGGACGTTTTTGGAGGCGGAAAGTAGACTTGTCGGGTTGTTGCTGCATTAGATCCGGGGAGGTCCGGCGAAGTTGATCCGTGCATGGCATTTTCGCTGGCATCATGGGCGTGTTGGAAGGAGTTGGATGTTGATGTTGTCTGAGCCGCATGAGGCTTGCGAACCGGTCTGGTGGCTTTGGCAGCAGCGGTCTGGTTGGCTTTGGACATTGTTGCTCTAGTCCTCACTAACTTCTCCATTCCGGTCGGTCCTGGTCAAGGTCATCCCAGGTCGCCGGCTTGATTTTCAAGTGCTGCACAGAGTTCTTCAGGATGTCCTTTTAATGTATTTTTCGTCCTCCTTGCGTCGACTCCCGGTGCTTGTCGATGTGTACCTGGTGTATGACTGTGATGGTTTCCTGTAACGAGGGAGAGCAGTCGGGATTGGTGTTGGGCTCCACTTGCGGGTGCCTATTGATGGCGGCGACGGAGATTGTGGACGGTCGATTGAAGGCGCTTATGAAGTGCCCGGTCAAGCACTTCGGAATGTGCGATTTATCGGGAAGAAGTGCTGATCCGTCTCCGCCGAACAATAGTGCAGTTCCTTTGGTGTGGAGCTATAGACAATCTTGCATGACGCAAAGAAATTTTTCTTTTCATTGCAGTCCTCATGTCGTTGTATTTCATCAGCCTTGCGATCCATTCAAAGGCCTCACATCTCCCGCATGCGTTGTTGCATCAAGCGCTGAAATCTGAAAAGCTGAATTAATTGCGTCGATTCCGCGGCTAACGTAGGCTTTGTGTGGCCTACTCTTCTCGATGAGCAGGTTACAGATTTATTCGCTGTTGTCGTCATACCAATCCTGATGTTGGCGGCGTGCGCGATCGAGAATTTCCAAGAAGTTTGTGCAAATGACACTCCATAATTGGCGTCACTACTTCCTCACAGTGGAGTTTTTCTAAGTCTGCATTTCTCTCCAACGATTGGCCAGCAAAAATGTTCAACAGAACAGTAGTTAGTTTGTATGGTGGTCGCTTACCTTGTGGTCTCCTGTGAGGTTGCTGTTGGAGCATCGTCATGGAGATAACGAGGCGGTGATTCGTCCAGTCTTCGATACCGTAGATGACATTTGTCATCAACATGTCGTGGCGGTCTCGCCTCCCAAGGAGAACATAGTCTAGCAGGTGTCCATGTCGTGATTGGAATTGCATCCAGGTTGCCTTCTCCCGTGTCGGAGGGCAAAAGGTGTTGCTGAGGCGGGGGCGGTATTCTGATCAAATTCTTTGAAAGAGGAGGAGGAGGAGGAGGAGGAGGTGGTGGTGGTGGTGGTGGTGGAGGTGGTGGAGGAGGAGGAGGAGGAGGAGGAGGAGGAGGAGTTGTAGCTGCCCATTCTTAAGGACAGAGTAAATTCTCCCAAACAGCATGCTCTGTGCCAACGCGGGCATTGAAATCGCCAAGGACAGTCAGTTTGTTTACCCTCGACACAGCCGCCAGAAGGACGGGTATTTCTGCGTGGAACTTGTTCTTTACCTCGCCAGGACTGGCCACTGAGGAAACGGAGATGACGACGATGAGGGCTCCCTGAGGAGACAGGCGCAGGGTCATGGAACGGTCGTTGATGCCCTGCGGCAGAGAGGTCAGTCTCTCCACCTTGTAATGCGCCACTTTTCGGGCAACCACCGCGCTTTTCCTTGCCTGTCGGTTGTTAGGCGGATTGTCTAAAAGAAAACGAATTTTCTAGGATACCAGAGTGGGTAGAATCGTTCTAATAGCCTGGAAGTTGGTGTGGAGGGATGAAGACGAGGGTTGTTGTTATTTTTTGTGTTATCTCGGTCGCGAGTTTTCATCTACGAGCCCCGGTCGGCTGGTGAGTGTTATTTCCTAGCAGTTGTCTAGGACACAGTTTTAGCCCCTTCCCCGCGAGCTGGTAAACAATGCTACCCCTAAGTATGGTTTCTGAGATATCCTAGGCGGCTACTGAACTCCGCCAGCAGTCACAACTTTAAGGTCGGAGACTACGCCTATGGGATTGTATGTCGTACTCTCCGTAGGACTTTTGAAAGTAGGCGGAAGGGGAGATTGAGAAGGAGAGCAGGAATACCACAGTTGGGGACACTCACAACGAACATCCCCACATGGTTTAGCCTGCCGTTCAAGGCGGTTACCGGGTAGGGTCGCTAGGTAGGATCTAGCTTCGGGGAGCCGTAGATGAGATTTGAGTGCCCTTTAAAGGCCGTACGGAGCAGCCACCACCTTCAAGAGACACACGATTCGGCATACCGCCCTTACACTGTGTGCCAACTAGCTGGACACCCCTGCACGCCTCTAAATTCAAATACCCGAGCTATGGCAACGGTAATGGTGTGGTCACAACCCACTACGATGGAGAGACTCCACAATCTTATCTTCTGAGACTGATCGCGTCAAATGTGCTTATCCCTTTTCGTCATCCGTCCCAGACCAGCAACGCATCAGTCGCTGTCGTCCAAGTTGGCGGTAGGGGTGGGTAGCTTTTTGCCCCTTGACGCGTGGTTGGGAGCCTTACCTGCTATTTTCGCGTACCTACGGCCAATGATTTATGATCACGAGATAAAACTGGAAAAGCACTCCGATTCGCACAGAACGCTAAAACGCGGCTGGTTAGGGGTTTGGCTAAAAGTAAGCCAGTCTGGCTATGCTTGACCCACCGGAGGTATGTGCACCAAGAGGTAAAAAGAAATGATCTTAACAGAAAGTAAGCTACAACAGAAAATACTCGCTTTAAGGGCTGGGATCGCAAAAAAATTGTTGTGGACAGAACTGGAAAGTTGTCCATATAAGCATTCGTTGGGAAAGCCCCCCTTCTGTTGATTACTCAACCAGACGGTGTTCAACTTTTGGTAGTCATTAATTTGATGCTGCTGCAACTTTTCGAAGACTGTCCTTATTATAGCACGTTAGAGAAGGTCAGCTAGAAGTAAAACATTTTTGCATCCTGGACGTCCACCGTGATTTTAAATTCATTTAAGACTTTCAACATAGTAGGAAGGTAACATTCAACGACCATTGACGCAATAAATACTTAAGGCGTTGAACAAGTGAGGCGCACAAGATGGTAGAAGGCAATCACCCGATAGTCTTTTCGCCCGCCATGCAAATGATCAGCAGAGGCCCGGGAAAGCAATGGCCCCCTGCACATTAGTCGGGTTTCTGTTAGCACGTCTTCCGCACCCCCAGCCTCGTTCTCCCCTCCCGCTTCTACCGTGCTTGAGAGACAAGACTAAGTCAACACTAGTGAAGATCGGTTTGAGCGTAGTTTCGGACATTTTGAAAGAACTGATCATTAAGCAACGTCTTTAGCACTGTATTAATGGGCTCACTTCATGTCGGCTCAGCTCAGGAACTTTTAGTGTACGCGGACCTCGTTCTTTGTCATGGCAGCGGTTACTCGGATAATTTCGAAAATGCCTGCCCCAAAATGTACGGCAGTGGGCCACGTTTGCCGATCTTAAACAAGGTCTTTCTAGGATTCAGGGTTGATTTGTAGACCTGTGAAATGGAGTCTCATGATGTTCTTGTAGATACGCCTTTGTCCGCCTTTTCTGCGAATCCTCGACAACTATGTCTCCTCTTGAACATGCTCTCATCGTCTACTGTCATTATGTGGTCGCTCCATCACAACTGGATCCGTTCCGGGATCTGGTGGATACTAAGGAAGCTGGTCCCTTCTAGGATCTGACTGTCGGGAATAATTCCCTCCCTTTGAGCAAGCTGAGATGAAAATAGCAGTCTTATTGCTTTGCCTTCATAGACGGTCCGCGATTCCGCCTTGCACAACACATTTGTCAGGACAGCAGACCTGCATATCCTAAGTTTCGTTGTAAGTAGGATACTGCGACGGTCCCAGACAGAGTGCTTTAATCAGCTGAAGGCCTGGCCGACTTCGGAAACCCGTCTTGCGATCTCACCGTTGAGTTTTGTCCTTCCTTAAATTGTACCCTTAAGGTACGAGATTTGTCTACTGGCACGAAGCGAGTTTCATCGGCGCTGATACGGAGTTCATTGTACCCAACACTTGGCCTGGATGGTTTAGAATCACCGTTTTCCCGTGTTTATGGTCAGGCCGCAGCTGAAACAGCCCGAGGCGCGGAGGTCCACACTTCGTTGTACGTTCTCTTCAGTTTCATTATTTAGCGCAAACAAAAGACCCCGGACGCGAACCCCGAACAATCTCATAGATGCTTAAATTAGACAGTTGTTGAACAGTCTTCAAGCGGTTTAGTGTCGATGTTCACTTCCAGCCGCTCCTCATGGAAGACGTCCATCAGGATAGCGAAGAACATCTTAAGTAGGATGGGAGCGAGTACGCAGTCATGTTTCCTTCTACTTATCACTGTTAATGCTGCAGAGACGGCCCCATTTTCCGTGACGCACGCCATCATCCTGCCTCATCTTCACCTGTATATGTGCGCGATGATGGCATTATTTAAGTCTTGAAGTGTGCCTTTGTAGCCACATCTCCTGAGACAACGAGAAAAGCTTTTCCGTGAGTCGTGGACAGTCATGCTTTAAAAGTGCGAGTATACTTCTGTTTCGACCTGAGAATTTTGCTATGTGAATTGAAAACCCGTCTCGAGGTTAAGCTTTGAACAATCACCTATTTAGGGCGGATGGTGCACAAAAGCTTTATGCCAGTTTGGTAACTGTTTAATTTCTTTCAGAGGAAAGTGAGGCTCGGATAGTCAGAACCCTCCTTAAATTAGAAAAAGTTGTCTTTTTTGGATGCCCCAAAGTACTTCTGGTCGGACAGAAAAGCATGTTTGAGTGAAGAAGAAAAAGATGAAGAGTCGAGGACCGGAACACTTCGTTTATTGTCCTGAGCTTTCAGGCTCGCGCAGGTGTCCGTCGTCAGAGGTAGTGGCAGAAACAGGACAAGCGGCAGTTATAAGGCATGCAGGTCAATCACCGACCGACTGTGCAAGACTGGAGGGGACTACGCAGGACTCTGTACGCAAGCGCCAGATCTATAAATCAGTTGATCGAGTTCTCATCCGAGGCCAAGGCTTCAATCAATTCTCGGCCTGTTTTGTTTCCGGCGTGGGCGAATATTTTGGTGGCTGCGAAGTTAAACTTGTGGCCCATTTCGTAGGTGTGGGTGGTCACATGTGACAATGCGTCGCCTCGTCGCATAGCCAGATTATGTTCGTGCATGCGCGATCCGAGCATGCACCCAGTCGGCCCTGTGTTGTTACAAGGACAATTTTGACACGGAATGCGATACACTACTCCAGACTGCTCTTCAGGCTTTAACCGGTCTTTAATTTTCATGACCCTATTGCTCATGGTGGCTTTGGGGCGGTGTGTAATTCCAACGCCTAACTCCGCAGCAATGCGCTCGGTCGCTTCTGAAACGCCCTTGATGTATGGCAGAGAGTGCCATATCGTCGGTGGTGTTAATGTTCGAGTCCTCTGGTGGCGACCGCGTAGGCAGCGACTTATGAATGACCTCGGAGAGCCATTTTGCACAAACTGGTCGCGGAGATAACGGGTCTCACGTGCTCTGTCCTCCGGTATTCTGCAATGAGTTTGGATCCGTTTGAAGAGCGTCTTCACACAGCTTCGTTTGTGAGCCATCGGATGGTTGCTGTGAAAACTGAGAAGCTGTGTGGTTTTCGTTACCTTCCTATAAACCGTCGTTTCAAGTTCACCGTTAAGGTTTCGTCTGACAAGCACATGCAGGAAGGGCAACTGCTGTTCCTGTTCTTCTTCCCTCGTGAATCTTATATCCGGGAAGACTGCGTTGAGCAGGCTGTGGAAATGTTGCAGCATGCCCTTCTTTACGATGACGAACGTGTCGTATAAGTAACGGCGCCAAAATACCGGCTCATGTCGGATGAAGGCAATCTTTTCTAACCCCTGTAGGACTAATTCTGCCACTAAACCGGAGAACGGTGAGCCCATTGGGGTTCCCTTGATTTGTTCATAGGTCTCTCTCGCAAAAGTGAAGAAAGTTTGTTGGCAGAACTCAAACAGCCTCATTAGATGTTCAACTTTGAGTGCATTCTGAGTCTCATTGTACGCCTCTCAAGTCTCTTGCGCAAGACTTTGCGAGCCAACTTTGGTGGTGTCACATCGAAGGAGACCATGATTTCGTCTGATTGAATCCCCCGAGCTCGGAGGTCTATTAGGAATTGAGAGGCCGATCGAACTGAAGTAGTCGAATTACCTTGGAGGAACTTCAGTTTTGAGTATATCCACTTTGCCAAATTGTAGGTGGGGCTGCCTTTTAGTGCAACGATTGGCCAAAGTGGGACATTTGCTTTATGGATTCTTGGCAGACCATATAATCGAGCTAGAGCGGTATCAGTTGCCTTCATTTGGTGCCATTCATTCTCCGTGATCATGTTTGCT